AGCAATCCTTCAGCCTCAGCCTCCTGAGTAGCTGGGACTACAGGCATGTGCCATCATGCCTGGCTAATTTTTTCTATGTATTTTTAGTTGTCCAATTAATTTCTTTCTATTTTTAGTAGATACAGGGTCTCGCTCTTGCTCAGGCTGGTCTCGAACTCCTGAGCTCAAACAATCTGACTGCCTCGCCCTCCCAGAGTGCTAGGATTACAGGCGTGAGCCACCGCACCCGGCCCAGTCTGATTTTTTTAACTGTCAAATTCACAATGATTCTACATAAAGGTGTGTTGAAGGGTAATTTTTGAAGTGCTTGTAATCGTAACCGTTTTACAACTATAAAATGAGACTGTCAGAGATTTGTATCTAACTCATTAATTAGAAAACCAGTCATTCAAAGTGACTGTTTGTGTCTCCTCCAGGTAAGGGACGCTGGACTAAATTAACAGACAAATGGTGCAAACTGGTCACTATCCACAGGGAAAGAGTCGGTGCCCCCACCGGACACATTTCGCCCGTGTCTCTCTGTGGACGGGAATCATGTGTGGCACAGTTGGTGTCTTTACAACTTACAGAGTCCTTAGCTCAGAGGCAGGGACTGAGACGGAGGTCACCCCGCAGTGAGAGCTGAACAGGACACTTGGCATCTGCTTTTCCACCCATGTCACCGCCTGGCTCAGCTGCTCCCGAAACTGCGTCTGAGTTAGTGGCACTCAGTGAAGTCACACCTGAACACTCACAGAGTGAATGCTTGGCTTTAAAATTATACATTATTTTCCTTTTATGTCTCTTTCATCTTAGAGCAGAATTTCAATCATTTAAAAATTATTCATACAGGTAGATCACATTATGTACGGAGTTCATAGTAGTAAGTGGGGTGGCAGGAAGTATTTGTTATGAAAGGAGGGCACTGGGTGTGGGGGCACTGAGGACCCCCAGACAGAATCCTCGCGGGTGCCTCCGCCATGTGGCCTGGGACTCTGTCTGGAGCGGCGAAAGGAGCGTGGACTCCCTGCTGTGACTCCAGGCTGCCCGACTCCCTAGCGTTACCACCTCGGGGAGGCTTCTTATGTTTGGTGCCTGGTCTCCTCACCTGTGAAGCAGGCGTAATGATAGACTCACAGAGTGCGTGTGAGGACCACACGCGTCCACCGTGTGTCACTCTGTGCTCGTTTGCTCTCCAGCCAGGCGTGGACGTGTCAGGCCCTGCAGCCCCAGCCCCCAGACACAGCCGCACCGTGTGGGGAGGGTGACGTCGGAGAGTGTCCTGTTTCTACAGCTTTAAAAGCCTGTATGACTATCATTTTTGTTCAGTGAATAGACTTGTCCTTTGGACTTCCCGCAAGTCTGCCCCTCCCTTCTCCCCATTCCCTCTTGCATCTCGGCTCTTCCGCGTGGAATCCCTTCCCTTCAGCTTGACACAAACCTTCAGATTTTCCCTCGGTGTGGGTTTGCTGCGGCACATGCTGTTTGTTTGTTTGTTTGCCTCGAAATACCATTATGTCACCTTCAGTATGGAAGTGTTCTCGCTGGGTACAGAGTCGTAGTTTGGCACTTTGCAATCACTGTCCTTTGGGGTTGTGAAAGTATCACCCATTGCCTCCAGGCTGCAGCTGTTGCTGCCAAGAAGCCTGTGTCGGGGCTGCCCTTTGGCAGGTCTCCCTTTTGTCCCGCCTTGGTGCTCTGCAGCCCCTGGGAGGGGACGAAGGGGCTGCTCTGTATCCGTCCTGCCTGGGATTGGTCAGGCTTCTTGAGTTTGTGCTTTGCTATTTGTCATCGTCCTGTAAAATTCTCAGCTACTATCTCTTCAGATCCTACTGCTGCGACCGTTCCGTTAGTCGTCTTTCTGGGATTAGAAGGACACGTGCACTGGGCCTTGCTGTAGCTACTGGCGTTTGTGTTTCATATTTTTGTCTCCGCTGTATTCAGGTTGCTTCTTTGGACCGATTTTCTGTTTACTGAATCTTCTGCTTCAGCTCTTAATTTTGTTCGTATTTTTCTGTTCTAGACCGAATGAGTCGTTTCTCAATCTACTATGTCACTTTTTATAAATAGTTTATAATTCCATGCTAAATTGTCAAGTTTGGTTTTTATTTATCTGAAAGTAGTAAACACAGTTGTTTATTATCTATTAGTTCTCAGGGCTTTGTGGGTCTAGTTCTTTACGGGCTGATCTGGTGCTTCTCGCTCATGGTATTGGTCTTCCTTGTGTTTCTGGTTTTTATTGGCTGTGCACTGAACATTATAACTGAAAAATGATCTGTGGGAGCTACTGGAGGCCTTGGCCTCTTCCAGGAACAAGTGGGAATTACAAGCTCGGGATCATCCTGCTCCGCACTCCAGGCTGGAAGTTCGCTGGACCACCGCTGTGGCAGGACCAGAGGGCCAGCTGCCCCTGCTGGGGGTGGAGCCTGCAGCCCATGGTGGGAGGTGGTTAACCAAAGTCTCCACCTTTGCTGGACCTGCTGGTCCTGGGCTCCCTGGTCCCCCAGGCTGCTGACAGAACCGCTGGGTTTTGCATCTGTCCTTCCTGCACCAGCAGGTCCCCAGGGCAGAGGCAGTTCGTGTTGGGTGCATGCCCCACCCCTCCCTGGTTTCCTTTTCTCCTGAGTTTGGCCTGGTCAGTCCTTGCTTTGTTGTTTTTTTGGTGCTTTAGGAAGGTGGTTTTTACAGCTAGTCCCTGGTTCATGTTGTGCTTGGGGGTGGGTTGGGCTGACCCACTGGGTCCTCTCCTGCCTGAAGTGGATCCACCTGCTCTCCTGTTTTCTGCTGGCCCATGGCCGCCTCCCAGACTTAGAGTTTGGTCTCCTGCCACCACCCACCCTCTGCTCACAAATCCCAGCTGCGATGGAGGTCCGTCATTCTGTGCAAAGTTCTCTTCCTCCTCCCGTGGCTGCTGTGCCCACTCTCCCAGCACCGTCTGGGGCCAGGCCCGAGCCCCCGTTTTCCTTCCTCATGGCTCCTGCGTCCCCCTGTGCTGCTGCAGAGCCCAGAACACCCCTCCACCCCCTCCTGGCCTCCTCCCCACATGCTGGGCTCACCCAGGACACTGCCCCACCCCACCTCGCCCAGGAGGCTCTTGCTCACCCAGCCCCAGCCCCCCAGGGGCCCTCCCCACCCTCCTCCGGCCCTAGCTCCATGCACGTCTGATCAATGATTCCTGCCTCCTCCGCCACACCAAGAGCCTCTGGACGTTACCTTGGTCCTGCCTCCCCAGGGCCCTCTGAGCTGGGGGTGGGCACATGCTGGCTCCGCAGGCTAAAATAGTTCTCACCTTTTTAAATGGCTGGGGAAAAAACCACAAAAAAATAGTATCTCAGGACACATGACACTTATGTGAAGTTAAAATGTCAATGTCCAAAAATGAAGTTTCGCGGGCAGACAGCCACGCTCACAATTGCCTGTCCTGTGGCTGTCTTTGCACCACAGCCAGGGTTGGGTAGTTGTGGGGGAGGCAGCAGGGCGCAGGGCCTGGGACATGCACCCCAGGGAGGGCAGCGCCTCCCTGAGGAATGCATCCTGCTAGCAGGAACAGAAACGCGACACAGCGGCTTAAAGGCACCGGATTCATTGTTTGCAACAGGTCCAGAAGCCGGTGGTTCTGGCCTTGGTCTTGTGGACCTGCAGAGCCACCTTTCTGCCCACCCGCCTCTGGTGGCACCCTGGCCTGTCCTTATGCCATGGCCTCCAGGTGGCAGCAGCACTCGGGCAGGAGGAAGGGGGAAGGGAAGCCCACCCGAGAAGGACCACTTGTGTGTCCCCCCAGGACAGGGCATTCACCGCTGAAGTCATGGCGATGCCACCTCCTCGCTGCACAGCAGGGGTGTCGTGAGCAAGGGCGGGCTGGGGAGACGGGAGTGTCTCCCAGGTCAATGCTGTTGTCCCTGCTTTACAGAGAGGCCCACCTGTCGCCCAAGCCCACTGGCCAGCAAGTCACAGAGCCAGGGGGAGATCAAGGTCCTCCCACCAGGCCACCTCTCCACCTGTCTTTGACCACCCTCTCTGGGAGGGTGGAGGCTAATGTGGTCCAGAGAGGAGAAGAGATTTCCTTTGGGGTCTCATGACTTTTTAGTTCAATTTAGTGTAGCCCAAAGACAACGAGGCATAGCTGGTCCAGCCTTGGAATGGGGTTTGAGCCGAAGGCTCACAGTGTAGGGAACAAAACACTTTGACTCACTCACATGCGTGTTTATGTTTCTAAGAACCGCAGAAGAGGCATGGAAACACTTACAGCATAAATATGCACAAAGAAGTCACGGATGACTCTTGCAGGCCCCTCCTCTCCCACCTGAATCCTTCACGGCCTAAGTGAGAGCTTCCTGGCCTGTGGACCCTGCCTTCCCAGGCTTCCCTGTCCCCATCACGAGAGCCAGGTGGGAGGGGGATAGGCAGTCCTGGCCCCCAGGTTGGCCAGATGAGGAGTGTGGGGTGAGTGGCCTCGGTTTAGGCCCAAGCGGCACCGGGTGGGCCAGGGTGGAGCCTCATGGAGTAGGCCTGGGGCCAAGCTGAGGACCCCCAGAGAGGGCTGGACCTGGCCCAGGACGGAGCCGTCTGCAGGGCTGTGGGTTGAGGGCCAGGGAGGGTGGCTCAGTTTCTTCCCATGTGCAACCCACACCTCCGAGTTGTAACCACAAGAATCAGTTCTGTATTTAAAGCCTGGGGCGTGGTAGTGCTGCGGGCAAGGTCAGGGACCCGAGGCCTGGCTGAGACCCTGGCTCCGCTGCCTGCTCCCAGCCGTGCCCTCCGAGAGTCAACCTCTGTGCGCCTCGGGTGCTCCGTCCCTGCAGCCTAAGCACAGGTTCACATGTGGCACTCGGTGCCAGTCAGTGCCAGGACAGGATGTGGGCTGAGGCTCAGGGATCCTGGGCAGGTCTCTGGAGCCCCACGGCTCAGATTCCGGCCCTGCCCCTGTGTGGACGGCGCCAGGGCAGCCTGTGTGACGGGGCTGGCCCCGCTGCTGCCTGGTGAGCATCTTGGTGGGTCACATGTATGCCCCCCCCCCGCAGTGCTGCCAGACCCTCGTCTCCCACCACGTGGACCCTTCCCTGCGGGATGAAGATGGTTACACGGCAGCGGACCTGGCGGAGTATCACGGACACCAGGACTGCGCCCAGTACCTGCGGGAGATGGCCAGGCCGGTAAGGCTGTCCTGAAGGCATGGTGGGGGGGCGCGGGCTGTGCACCTGCAGTCCAGTCGGCTGGAAAGCTCATGGTCTACGCCTCCTACACCACGTCACTGCCAGGGGCAAGGGCCTGGGGCAGCACTGGGCCAGCACCATAAGCCAGCCGGCTGGCACTGAGACCAGGTGTGATATGAGGCAGGCTGAGGCAGTGACAGGGGCCAGGACAGGGGCAGGGGCAGTAAAAGAGGCAGGGACAGAGTCTGGGACAGGGGCTGGGGTCAGGGCTATGGCCAGGACCAGGGCTGGGCTTACGGCTGGAACTTGGCCAAGCCACACCATCCATCTGGGCTGTAGGAACCATGCCTGTGACGTGGGAGCCTCCATGGCCAGCGTTCCTCTTGGGGGACATGTCAGACTGAGGACCCCAGGGTGGGAGCAGGGCGTGGGTCCTTGCAGAAGTGACCAGAGGCAGCTGCAGCCCTGCAGCCCCACAGCCGCCAGAAGGCAGCAGGTCCAGTCCCTGCTCACCCCTCAGCGTCTCCCCACCTCTTAGAGCCTGTTTCCTGACCTGTGAGGACAGGGATCTTGTCTGTCCCAAAGGTCCCCAGCCCCAGCACACGACAAGGCTCAGCAAGTGTTTGTTAAGGGAACAGATGAGCAGATGGGTGGACAGACGACTGGGCAGACAGATGGAGGAGAGAGGATAGGGGAGGGGATGGATGGGGAGGGTGCGCAGAGGTGCAGGTGGGTGGGGGTCACTGCGGCATCCGCAGTGGAGCCAGGCGCGTCCCCTAAGCGCTCCTGCCTGCCCTCCCTCCTATTCCAGGCCCAGGGAAGTTTCTATGACAAATCTGTCCCAACCTGCCTCAGTTTGGGCCACACTTTGCTTTAGTGGCCACCCCTGCAGGAAGGTGCCCTGGGATCACTGGACCCCATTTTCGGGTGAGGGCACAGGGCCCAGAAGGTGGCATGCCCCCGAGCCCGGTCTCACCAAGGGGCTGCCGCGCCTCCTCTTCCCTTGGGGCGGCCCCTCAGAGTGTCCAGGACCAACTGGGGCAAAGCTATCATCCTCCTGGCCCTGGGGCCTGCAGGCGGTCCTCCTACTGCCACGTCCGAGAGCCTCTCGTTGTCACCGACTGAAACGCACACCAGGCCACAGCGATGCAGGCGCAGCTCGGGTGGACTCTGGGAGTGCAGCGGTGCCCTGGTTTTGTCCTGGTGTAGTAGTTTCAGGAACTAGCATTCAGTTACTGCTTGAAGTCATTTATTTACTAAATTATTTACTTACTAAATGCTTGATGGGTTATTGTTTAGTCTTGCTGGCTTGGGCTTAGGAAGCTGGTGGAACTCAGTGGGTTCTGCCGAGCCCCCGTCCGCAGGCTCAGGAGCGCCCAGGGCCTGGCTGTCCCTGGCGCAGTCACTGGGGTCGGCCTCGGCCTTTCTTGGGTCCTTCCCGGCCTCCCTGTTCCAGGTGGTCGCCAAGATCGGGAGGTGGGGAGGGCAGCCATGAGTCCCCGCCCCGTCCCCACCCCAGCCATGCTGGGTCCCCCAGCCTGGGCTTTCTGTCCAGGCAGGGTCTCTGCCTTCCACCCCCAGACCCCGTGTGGGGCAGGACAGGTCGTGTCGGGCTCAGCCACCTCCTTCCCTGCTGTGGCCCTTTCAGGCGTCTGGGCCCCCTGCCTGGCTCACACAAACCCAAACCCTTGGCCTTTGAGGCTCTGGTGTGTAGCTTCGGGAGCCATCTGGGGACTGAGGGTCAGCCAAGGAGCCGTCTCTGCGCCTCCTCCCTCAGGGAGTGCCCAGTGACAGCAGGCGGTGCTAGTCCCCCCCCAGGCCACCTGCCTCACGTTCCAGGCGCCCCCCCAGCAGGAGGGCCGGCTGTCAGCTGCCTGCCGCCAGAGGAGGCTGTGCGCCTGATGCAATATTGATGGAAACGCGATACGCGGAGGTCGCCTGCGCTGGCCTCTTCCCACGTCGGCCCCGAGGAGGTGGTGAAATCCATCATTCCCCCAGGACGCTACAGCCAGTATCTGCCCCCAGGGGACTTGCAGGTCCCAAAAGAGGCAGCTGGGGTACGAAGCTGGACGGGTAATGCTGAGACCTGCCCTGCAGGAGGTGCCCCCCTGGGGACCCCCTTTGGGTCAGGTCTGTGGGACCTGGGTGCACCCACTACCCAGGCCAGGCCCTGCTCCTCCCTGGGCCTTAGAGACCTGGGTAGGGCAGGGGCTGGAGGGTCGTTGAGGCAGGCCCCACCCCTCCGCTAGCCCCGCAGCACAGCTCCCGGCTGTGGGGTCCCGAGTGAGGCTCTGTCCGGCAGCAGCAGTGGGAAAAGCAGCCTGGGGTGGCGCGTAGCCCTCCATGGACAGGGAGCCGAGCCCGCAGCTCTCCCGTGGCGTCCAGGGCTGTCCTGCTGGCACCCTCCTCACCAGGGCTGGGGCCACTCTCCCGGGCTGTGGTGCTGGGAAGCACGGAGTGTCCCTGAGCCCCAGTTTCCTCATCCATAAAATTGGATTGAGGAGCCTTGTCTTCAGGGCAAAGTGACACTCTTCTCAGCCCTGTAGGGTCCTGCCCATGCTGGGCCCTTGGGACATGCTAATTCCCCTCCCCCAGGGCAGGAAGGGCCCTAGGACTCCCTCATTTTACAGATGGGGAAACTGAGGCCCAGGGAGGGCAGGGACTCCCCGGGCAATCTCCTCCGTCAGGGAGCAGCGGGGCCCAGCCAGTAATCGAATCTCAGCCGTGGCCATTGGTGTCCAGCAGGCATCTGTGGGTCATGATTTTCTCGGCCCGGGTGGTATTACAGGCCTGTAACCCGGCTCGCCGCAGCCGCCCCCGATGCATAATGCATGGCAGACAAGCGACGCGCAGATCTCACCAAAAACACAGGGAGAGAGACCACGGGTCCTGGGCCGGCGCTGTTGCCAACCTCGGGGCCATTGTCCCTGGGGTTCAGGGCAGCTCATGCCCACCGTTAGGACCCCAAAGGATGAGACTAGACATCTGCCGCTCCTTTCGTCCCCTGTGGAGTCACTGGCTGTTCCAGGCCTGGTGTGGGAGGCAAGGATGTGGCTACACCCACTGCCTGGGGGCACCACAGCCAGACTTGGCTTCCCTGTTGAGGCCCAGCGAGATCCTCACAGCGCAGTGGTGACAGTAGCCACAGGGCACCGCAGGCCCGCCCGGGTGCTCTCCGTAGCTGCGTCTTCCAGCAACTCCGATTTTCAGGCCAGGGCATGGAGGCCCAGGGTGACCTCCCAGGGCTTCATGTTCCTGAGGAGCGAGGGGAGCAGGAGGGAAGGTATGAGGTCCCCTGGGCCCCAGGTGCTGCTGGGGCCAGAGTCCCCTCCCGTGGGCCCAGACCAGCTCCTGCCTTTTCTGTCTACCCCAGCTGAGGATCCGCTGCCAACCCAGCTGAGCCCCTAGCTCAGCCAGGCGTGGGGCTGCTTGCCCCTCCCCGCAAGAGCAGTTTCAGTTGGAGGGAGGGGACTGGGCTGCCAGGCAGGGGATAGGGTGGGGCATAGGGTGGCTGCTGTCCAGGGTCCTACCCCGGGCCTCAGCCCCTCTGTCTGTCCAACTGTTAGTGGCCCCCTGCTCTGGCCATGGCCGCTGAGTGGGGTTTGACTCCACCTTGCTTAAAGCTCCCAAGTCAGCCCATTTCTGCGTCCTGAGTGTGGAGGAGGACACAAGACTCCTGGCTCTGAGACATGGGACTTTCTACAGCATAGCAGGGAGCACGCACCACGTTTGGTGGGGGACGACCCCTTTCCCTCCACGTCCCAGGTGGTGCAATTTGGGTCCAGAGGGCGGGTGGGCACAGCATGTTTGTGTCTCAGCTGGGGACCCCTGAACCTGGCTACCTGTGCTCTACAGTGAGCAGGACACAAGCCTGCTCACATCTCTGGGTCACCTCCTGCAAGCAAGGCCCTGAGAAGTGGCCCACTAGGGAGCAGCCAGGTTCTGCGCTCCTGGGAGGTGTGCCAGGGACCCAACACATGTCGTCCTTCCCAGAGGCCCACCCCTGCTGGTGCCCCGGGGCCCTCGGTCCTGGCAGGAGCAAAGACGGGGGTCTCCAGGGAGATTCCAACCCCAGCTCCGCTGCATCTCAGCACTGGGAACTTGAGAAAGCCCTTTATCCTCTCTGAGCCTCAGTTTCCCCATTTGTGCCTTGGGGGCTATACTGCAGGTGAGGGTGGGGATTCCTCCGGGTGGTCTCTCTTCTCATGGCCCAGGGATCTCGAGTCCCCCTCCTCCCCGGAGAGTCCCTCCCTAGCCCCTGTGGTAAGGGATCCACACCCAGCCCATGCCTGCCTGGCCACCTGACACCTCAGCCTTCAAATATTCATGCGACACCTCCCACTCCTGGGGGCCGCAGCTTCGACAGCCCCCGACAGCCCAGGACAGCCACAGCTCCCTGTGCTCCGCAGCCTGCATCCGAGTTCCTCCCGGGCTGGGGGCCAGGCGGACACTCCCGAAGCCACCGTGTGCCAGGGCTCCTGGGCTGTGGGCACAGATTCCTGGAAGGAGCGAGGTGCGTGGGGGCTGGGCAGACAGGCGTCAGGTGTGTTCCCGTCCCTGTGCCCGTGGGCTGAGGGGCACACAGCCTCCCAGCGTGGAGGGGACTGGACTGGACTCACCTTCGCCCTGAGCAAGCGGGGCCAGGGTGGCCAAGGGCGTGCTTAGGCAGCGTGGCGTCACCTCCTGCAGGCCGGTGCAGAACGACAGTGGGGTCTCTCGTTCAGAAAGGATTAAGAACTGAGGGCAGAGACAGCGAGCGCAGGAAGACACCAGGCCACGTGTCCGAGTCGGGCTGGTTGGGCCAGGCCCTCTGCCCGGCCCAGGGCTCCTGCCTCGCCCACTTGGGCCCGGATGCCACATCCAGCTTGTGATGCCCACTGCAGGGAGGGGCGGGAGCTCTGCTCTGACAGCCAGGGTGGGGTCTCAGAGGGAGCACTCTGCTAGCTGGGGACACGCGTTGGGACAGCAGTGCACCAGATGGGCATCGAGGCAGCGCGCACAGCCGGGAGCGCAGGCACGGCGTCGCACAGACGGGGTCAGGCCAGCCTTCAGCTCTCAGCTTTAACCCCAAAGGCAGTGAGCCCAGCTCCGGGGTCCTGGCAGGACAGTGCAAGTGTCCCCCTGCAGCATTTCTCTGCCGCTCGAGGAGGGATGTTGGGGAAACAGGAAGCATGTGCGCCCGGCTGGCCTTGCAGCTCCCCCAGCCGTGGGGCGGTGCCAGGAGTCTCAGCTCCTGCTGGTCAGAGGCCATCGCTGAGGCCGAGCGGGGCAGGTTGGGGCGACCCTCCCGGTCAAGGGCTCTTTCTGGCTGCCCGTGGTCAGTGCAGAGGGCGGGGGAGTGGCCAAGGTGAGGTGTGTGCCCTGCCCCAAATGTGGCCAGGGGTGGGGCAGGGTGCTCCTGCAGCCCCAGCCTCCCTGAGGCTCATCTTGGTGGCCTCTGTTTCCAGGTGGATCTGGGGAGGGTGGCCCCAGAGAGGGTGGCTCTGGCCAGGTGCCAGTCCTGGTCCCTCCCGCCTGGACCCTGGCAGGTCCTGGGATGCACCTTCTGAGTTGCACAGGCCCCACACTCACGGCCTGGATGGAGCTGGGAGGAGCTTAAGTCAAGGCCCACCTGGGCCCCCACTGACCAGGCCTGTCCTCCCGCAGGTGCCACTCCTGATGACGCCCCCCCCACCACCGTTCCCTCCTCCCCCACTGTCAGCCGCGAGGCACTCCCTGGAGGACGGAAGAACAGGGGGCTCGGGGCTCGGGCAGCCCACCCGTGAGTACAGCTCCAGCAGGACCAGCCTGGGCGTGAGGTCCTTGGGGGTGGGGGAGTCGCTGACACCAGGCAGCTGGGTGCCCAGGTCACCCCTCCCATCAGCCTCCCTCCCCACTTCTTCCGGGGTTCTTCATTGTCCATGTGGCTTTGTAGGGGTGAGGATTAACACTGTCTAGCAAGGGCACGTACGATCACAGCTGCTTGTCCAGGGCTCAGTCCAGGCTGGGGCGGGGCCCGGGCTCCCCCAGATCCGCTGCTGTTCTCTGAGACCCCAGCAGGCCGTGGGCTGTGGCTGTGGGGGTGGGGGGATGGCCCTCAGACTGTGGGTCACCACCAACTGGGGATTGTGACCAGCAATTATCAAAATTAAATGGAATGCACTAGTGTGAAATACCAGCAGGTGCCACACGCAGTGAGGATTGCATCGGTGTGTCTGTGTGTGTGTCTGCGTCTGTGTGTATCTGTGTCTGTATGTGTCTGTGAGTGTGTGTGTGTGTCTATATGTGTCTGTGTATATCTGTGTCTATATGTGTCTGTGAGTGTCTGTCTATATGTGTCTGAGTGTCTCTGTGTCTGTATGTGTCTGTATGTGTCTGTGGGTGCCTGTGTGTGTGTCTATATGTGTCTGTGAGTGTGTGTGTGTGTCTATATGTGTCTGTGGGTGCCTGTGTGTGTCTATATGTGTCTGTGTCTGAGTGTGTGTCTATATGTGTGTGTGTGTCTATATGTGTCTGTGTATATCTGTGTCTATATGTGTCTGTGAGTGTGTGTGTGTGTGTCTATATGTGTCTGTGGGTGCCTGTGTGTGTGTCTATATGTGTCTGTGTGTGTGTGTGTCTATATGTGTCTGTGTGTCTCTGTGTCTGTATGTGTCTGTGAGTGTCTGTATGTATGTCTATATGTGTCTGTGTGTATCTGTGTCTGTATGTGTCTATGAGTGTCTGTGTGT